TATATCTGTATATGTATGTATATATTAAATAATTAAATAATTACTATATACATAATATATATATATATATATATATATTTGTTGTGTGTGTGTGTGTGTGTGTGTGTGTGCGCGCGCGCGCGCGCGCGCGTGCGTGCGAGTGCGTGTGTGTAAAATATTATGTATGTGTATATATCAACGACTATAATCTTGAATATAATTTTGAAGATTTGCGGATATAAAATAGGCACCACATGTACATCATACATTACTGTATATCGATCACACGAGACATAGATCAATGAGGGATCGTAATAGCTAATATGATCTTATTGAGAAATAACCGCTGCTGCATTAGGATGCGACCACAAGGCCCCGCATGTCGTTGAAGCGCGTAATTAGAAACGGTTTGCTACGTCAACACGAACACAAAGAACTCGTTCATCACGCAATCGACTGTTACGCTTGTCTCCGTTTAGAAGCTAAAATATGATGTAACGATAAATGTCTCCTATAGAAAAGCACATAAATAGTTTGTAATGTTTATTTGTAATGGATAATATTTTCCATTTTGTTTCGAATTAAAAAAATCTTAAAATTAGAATTTTCTAAAACTAACTTTCATTTTTTCCAAACTTTATTATAAAGAAAAAATAGATTTTTATCATATTTCATATCTTACTGTACCTTTAATAATTTTTACATTAGAAATTGGCAATTATAATTCACTTTATTGTATTATTAATAATATATATAACAAACCTAATAACATGAGAAAGGAATAATTAAGAAAATATAATTTGTAAGTCAAAATTTATCAAAATTTTGGTTTTGCGTTCGAATTCCTCTTTTAAAATAAATCAGCTGAGCACAAAATTCATTGACCGATTTCAAATGTTAAAAATAAAATTAAAAATTTTTCTATCAAATAATATTTCTGGATTGTCAACTCAGACTAATATATCAAAAAAATATATTCATCTTTGTCACTTTCTTTCACAATCAATCAATCGAGATATATTCCTCTATTTGTAACTAAATCAATCACTTAGCAATCAGTGATCTGGATTAATATCTAGTAACAAAAAGTTGCAGCGTTTTTCCGCATTTCTATGCAAAAAACACATTGTACTTTTTTTACAAGAGGTGGATCTCGTTTAGGCGAATTTTTTTTCTCCGAAAGATGAAATACAGGATGAAAGACCCTCGTTTTCCTTACTTTCTATGCCAGGTCCACAAATTAGAGCTACACGCGATTGTTCGAAAATCGCGCTACTGGAAGTGATATAAGAAAAAAAATTATTTCGAGAATAGAAAAGGGTCTGTATGTGTTTACGTGACATCTGCGCGATGGTTCCGTCTTCTTCTTCGCTACCCTTTATTGGCGGGTTGAGTTCACTGATTTCGAGCCCTTGTTCAATTTCCCACGTCTATATAGACAAAATGTAACAACGTGTTGTCAATAGTTTTGTTTAAATTGCCATAAAAATCAAAATTAATATAAAATTACATACATTTTTATTCAATTGACGAACTAGTTTCTCTTGCAAAACATTTCAGGATATTTATATTATTCAAATATATATGTGTACATATATGTATATATGTGCGCGCACGCGCGTGTGTGTGTGTTTGTGTTGTATTTACATACTTATGGGAGAAATAATTTTTATTAAGAAACTTTTTATGCATATTGCTGTGAATTATCATTAATGCGCATGCTGCGATTATGCGTAAGTAATACCGGCATTGTTCGAAATAACAGGAATCAAAGACAGCTGCTTACATTTTCATCGCAAATGATTGACATCGATTCGCTCAGAGTAAATAAGACCCGCCTTCTCAGCAATATTTTGCGATCAAGGCAGGTGCATGATAGAGTTCTTCCATGACGGCAGGTGATGGTGTATTTTGCTGCAGAATTTTGAAATTTTAATTGTATGAAAATCAATTTAACCGCTCGAGTAGACGCTCTGTTGCAGCTGCGGAGAAAAAGTGCGCGCATAAATTAATGTCAGACCATTTATTAATTTCTACATTTTTACATCTTGTTCGCTATAACAGCACAATTCTTAGTAAATTCTACACTTTTAAATAAAAATATTTTTATATTGCTTGAAAAATATTTAGATTTGATAGGTGTGATAAAGAAATTTTTACTAAAACTTTTTTTTATGACATTTTTTTTTACACATCATCACATTTACGTATCATCAATAAGAATTTTGAGAAATGTCTCTCCTTAAAAAAAGGGCGGAAACAATAATGTCATCAAGTAATATAAAAAAGAAGATTGCTGGCAGCATTTATGATGAACATGTCACTTCAACAACGAGGCATCGATAATCGTTGGGCATGGCAGCATTTATTCGCACCCCAATATGACGCGCAAGATGCTTCACCCGGTTGCGGCTTTAATCGTTTATGGTCGCTTTACTTCTAAGCCGTTAAACTTGCTCGTTCTTTTTTCCAAAACGCATAGACCGTGTGATTTTTCTCCCTTCGGTCTTTCTTACATGCGACAGAAAGGTGTACATAAAAGAGAACGATGGAAAAATTACAGTAACAGTCGCAAAGATATTTATATAATTTTCTATCAAAATTCTCTTTTAATGAACATAAAACAATGAACATAAAAGGTCTTTGTAAAATATATCACAAAATACAGAATGTTAATTTAATGATCAATCTAAAATATAGTATATAATTAATAATAATATTTAATAATATATAAAATAATAATAATGTTAATACCTGATATTATATTCTAGCATTGCTACTAATTATTGCAAACAATATATTATAAATAGTAATACACTATTTGTACACATGAACATAATAAATATGTGTAAAATAATATTTATCTGATTGAAATA